GGCCGGAATATCCTTCTAAATGAAAGCACACAGAGTCACCTTTTGTCCAGTAGGCAAAAGCGAAAAGCTTACGAAAAAAAATAAAAGAAACAAAGAAAATCCGATGGAAATTTGAAAGGGGTTCGTTTCATTTTCTTTCTATTTTTTCTTCATTTTCAAGCCAACCAGTCGGCCCTTTTGTCTTTCGTGCGTGTGTCGGCGCGGCTACTCCTTTTTTATCCTGCCGCCTTCCTTTGGTCTTGTGAATGGGGTCCTCGAATCCGGGACGAGTGTGGGTGCGAATTGCTTTCATGCTGGCGCCATTTTGTGCCGCCGCCTAAAAAGTGTTGAATGAAAGCGTCTTGAGCCTATTATGGCCTTAGCCTATATTTAGATGAGTGTCCTCGGTGCCGTGTTATCGTGTAATTTTCGGTCCTCCATGTACCAAACCCAAGTCGAAGTCTTGAAGGAGAGGAAAAATACTTCCTGAGATTGGGCTTAAAGGGTTGCGACAAAGAACATGAGACTACCTCGGGTTGCTTGACTGCCTCAAGAAGGCTGAAACAAGAAAATCTGGAGAGTGACAATCATCTCGGGTGGATAAAGTTCAGCCAATCAAGGAATTGAGAGATTCATCAAGTTATTGGAGTAGAATTTAATAGAGATATTCGTTTTACTATTTCAGTATGAAGTCATGCCTAAAGGGGAATAATGTCTACAACATTTTTCAGTCCCTTACATAAGACATATGGAGCCAAAACAAGCCACAAAAGTTCTCTACTGGCAGAAACCCCAAGCCAATTTTATTATGGTTTATGCAAAGATATATACACACACTCCACACACCAGTGTTTGTATGTGACAGTTGTCCGATATGACACACATAGCCTGGAAGTTGTAATAGATATGCACATAAAACTTTTAGAACACCAAATTTCTCTCCTTTTTTCTTTCTTTTTAGATCTCTTGCCATCAGGCCCTGGCTTCAATATTCAGATACATGGAGAGCTGGGAGTACTTGTCTTTTTCCTTGCTGGCTGCATATATTTGCGTGTAATTTTACAATGTCATTCAAATTCAAGCAACATCAATAAAGTCTTGAATCGCTTCTTGAATATATTTATATACATGCCGGCGTCCTATTTATTTCGCCCTAAAACCGAAGTGAAGCCACAAAAAAAAAAAAAAAATAGGGAAGAGAGTGAGCTGCTGTATGCGAAAATTGCATGCAAAAACAAACACTGGCAGACAGGGGATGGCGCAACATTTTATAGCGGCAACTTATAAAAAGGAGCAAGGACAGGGGTAGCACTAAGGACCAACTTATAGTTGATATGGCACGAAGCGGCCATATAGCCACGCTCGAGTTCGAGTTCTTAGATTAACTGCCAGGCACACATACAGATACAACTGAAATGCGGACACAAAAAAAGAGGAGAGAAAGGAGACAGAGCAAAAGAAAATGGCGCAAGAGGACATCGAAGGAAGCCTGGTTGTCCTTGTCATCATTTGGTGTGCTGGCACAAGAAAAGAAAAAAAGAAGGAAATTTTTGGCAAAATGCGAAAAACAAGTAAACGGAATTTGACAAACAATTTCAATAAATTTCTGCAAATAACTGACAGAGACAGAGATGGAGACGGAGACAGCGTCAGCGAGGCGGGAAGATGGCAAAAGCGGACAAAATGGCCGACGAGGAGTTCAAAACGAAATTAAGCCGAGATGAAGAAGAGGAAGCCAGACAAGCGGAAGGGATAACAAGTCGAATGTTGCGTTGACAATATTAGTTGATGTTCCGCACAAACACAAACACAAACATATACACACACACACACAGGCTCAGAGCAAATGTTATTCCAGCAGAATGAGGCAAAATGGCGGCCATGTCATATCGTAGTTCATTGGTTCGCCTGTCAGCTGTCAGCACGTAAGCCGCTCGTTCCGGCAATGCTGCTTCTCCTGCTCCTTCTATCTCTCTCTCTCTTTCTCTCTGTATCCCCCCCCCAGCTGTTGACCAAGCATCGTCTTCATCGTCTCCTGATGTCCAGGAAGCGTCCATCCTCCTTTCGTTGGTCTTCCCACGGCTCAGGCCTTTGCAATGTCATGACATGTCAACATTTAACACTTTGTCCTTTTGCCAGTCAGGCAGCAGACCCTTCTTCTTTCCCGTGCAGGAAACTTTTCCCTGTTTCTCTCAAGCGCTTTCTATTCGATTTCTTCTGGGCTGCGACACAAATTTGTCACACGAGCAAAATGTTATCGAAGGCATATTACACGCTCCTGCTGGCTTATGAACTGCGAGAAGGAATTGCTCGCAAAACAGGGAAAATTGGAGGCAGAATAGATTGGATATTCGGTAGCAAATACCGATGACAGGCAAGTGGGGCTAACGTAAAAATATTTAACCCGAAATCGGAGCTCTATCAAACCTGAGGAAGTCTTTCTAGATTGATTTGATTTCCATTTATGTGCGAGCGTCTTTCTTGAACCGGAATCTGGTATCTGCTTCAGTGCATGTGCCCCGCCTGTGGCCTTTGGCTGGAAAGCAACCCGAAGGAGCAATTTCGCAGCTCTCTCTCTATGTATCTCCTCTGACATGCCGACTGCAATCAGAGACTGAACTAGCCAAAGGCAAGATGGCACTCCACTTGATTGCCAATAATAATCGCTGCTTCCTCGGCCCTCGGGCCAAACTGCTTCCGGCCAGGACGCAATCACAGAGGCAGGCACACACACTACACACACGCCAGGCTAGGAAAAGTGCACGGAAAAAAGTAGCACCAAATTGGCTATCAACTCTGCATTTGCTCGGGTCGAACTAAAGATTGCTTGTGGGATATTAATGTGTCAGAGTCATGTTCTAACACAGGACATACTCTTGCTATACAGGAGCTTATAAGTGATATCTATTTAAATTATACTGAACAAGTTTTAAAATAAGTACATGATTATATTAGGATACCTGAGCTTCAGGTATCCTATTTGTATATTTATTGTGGAAGCTGATTCCCATATATAAATATTATTATCCTCCATAAATAGTTGTAAAAACTTAGCTAATATAATTAATGCAAATGACAATGTTTTCAAGATATTGATAGCAATTGAGAGCAACTTATTATATATATTTGTTCTCTGTCTCACCGATAAGATGGTTTTAACTTGGCCGTGGCAGCACTAACTACACGAAACTTGAAGTGCGGCCATAAAATGTTGAACATTTTATTATGATACCTAAGCAGGCACACACACAACACAGCAACACATACAAACACGAACGTAATTATGGTACAAGTCGTGCTCAAATCATATAAAAATTTATAACTCAAATGCTGATGATGGCGACAACAACATTGGGGGGCATTATGCATGGTTTATTCTTCGCTAAGCCTCAACAACAACAACCAAAACAACAACAACAGCAGCAGCAGAAGCAGCAGCAGCAAGGAACTGGCACCAACACCGGGGTTCGACATCTATTTTTATGCGACAACGTTACATTTTTTATGAGCGCCTAATAGTATGCAGTGTGTATTACGTATACGCCCCGTTTTGTAGTGTCAAGGTGTAGGTAGGCACCCCAACAACGCTCGGTTTAGCTGAGGGATCCGGATCCAGAGCTATGGCTATGGCACCGGTGCTAAAATTAAACCAGACGTGGCCTGCCCTGCAACACGTGCACTTGGGGCCATTGTTGCCACTGCTGATGAGCGTGAAAATCACAATTTTCCCTGCAGTACAATTTGTCAGAGGGCTTTCGCTTTTGCTTTTGCTTTACTTTTTTATTATTTTCTTTTGCTTTTTTTTATGCTTGTGTTTCTATTTTTTTGGTCGATGCAGTCTCTGGCGAAATTCGCCTACAATGACAATGTTGCTGACAGCCAGCGGCTTCGATGTGGGCCTGTGGTTTGTCAGCGGCAGCAGCAACACTGCTGTTATCCTTTTATGCATTTTAATTTCCACACAAACACACACACACTCACGTTTAGAGATGTATAGTATGTCCTAGTAGGCTGGGGCACGTGCGTGGCAGCATCCAGCACCCGTGGGTGTTTTTCCGAGTGTGTTTGTGTGCGGAGCGATCATAAAAGCATCGCATTAGAAATTATACGACTGTCGGTGGCACACACACTCAGATACACGAACACAGATACAGATACACTAGCAAAAACTTTGAATTATAAGAGTTTAAAGTGCCAGGAGGTATTTATATATCTAAATCAATATAATGTAGTAAGTTTCATATTTCAATAACGGAATCTCTGGGAAGGGCAGTCTGATAAACTATCAAAAAATATTCATTAAAATTAGAAAACATTTTCTTGGACTTCATTTTTCCTGTGCTCACAGACACAACAACATCTAAAGCTTGCCACAGCCACAGATACATTGACAGGGAGTGTGCTGGGGAATTCATTAGCACAACTCGCGCTGAAAGTTTGCCCACGTCACACTGTCGCAACTTTAAAGTGCCTGTTTCCCACGCCCTAGTCCCTCTCTCTCCCCAGCTACCCTGCAGCAAGCAGCAGCAACCAACTCCCTAGGTTTCTATGCCCCCTGCGTGTGCTTATCATAAATTCATATGTGCCCCGCTCCGTTCGTGTGTGTTTGTGTTTTATTAACATTTTGGGTGCATTAACCTGACAGCTAATGGGCAGGCGAAGGCCCGAGTCGCGTCGCGGCACAGATTCACGTTCGCATTCACATCTCCAGTTGGCCCCGGGGCTGGTGGCAAGATTGACACGAGATCACGTAATGGTCGTGGGAAATTCTCGGAAGTAACTTGTAAAGATGCGATAATTGAGTTTCGTGTAGGAGGCCATCTTGCCAGGTCCTTGGGGGGCCAAAGTCCCCAAAAATGATTGGTATTGGGAGTTTTAAGTGTGCATAACAAAAATGTTAAGGCTTTATAGGACTTGCGACACATTAAGGGGCATCAAGTGAAACTTAAAAAATATATATAAAACATTTGAGTTTATCATTTATTAAATAGTAAATAATGCGTTGTGGTCAGTGTACTCACCGTTGCTGCACAGCGCGTTGCATTGCCTACAGATGACAGGCCGTCGTAGCGTCGCCGTCGTGCTCGTTGCTGATGTTGCCGGTTGCAATGTTGTTGCTGCTGCTGATGTTGCAGTTGCAGTTGCTGACGTTGCTGCTTCTGCTGCGTTGCTCTTGCTGCTGCGCCGCCGTCGTCGTCGCCAGTGTTGTTGCTGCTGCCTGAATCGTCGATTAGTTGCTGAGTGGCTAGTTGGGACAAGGGACAGCTGCTTGCCACACCCACAACGCCCAACAGGGTGCCGCTGATGTTGCTGCCGTTGCTGTTGCTGCTGTTGCTGCTGCGCCGTCGTCGTCTGCGATGGCGGTGATGTGGATGGTGTTGTCGCTGGCGTTGATTGTGACGACGGCAGCGTTGCTGTTGCGCCGCGGCGTCTATTTTAATGGCAGCAATGGTGCTGCTTTACAGCAGCACACACCTCTACCTACGGAGTGTTGCTTGCTCCCGCTGCCGCTTCCCTACTCGGTTGCTGCTGCTGCTGCAGCTCCTGCTGCTACTGTGTTGCTGCTGCCGCTCAGTGTTGCTCCTGCTGATGTTGCTCTTGCTGCTGCTGCCACATGCCTTGAGCTGTTGCGTCGTCAGTTGCTCGTTAACAATGACAATTCCATAAACATGTTTTCGGCTTCCTTCCTGCCTTTCTATTTTTTTTTTATTATTTTTTCTGCTGTTTCGGTTTCTTTTTACTTAAATTCCTGATTACGTTTTATGTTGCTGGCAGCACTTTGTTGATGTTCTTGATGTGGCTGGTTATGATTCGTGTTTGTTGATGGTGTTTGTTTGAAGCAATTCCAGATAGCAGTCTTGAATTTCGGTATGGCTGCAAAAATGTTATATCAAATTTTAGACACGAAATGCTTTCAACTGTTGGAAAATATACTAATTAATTAAAAAGTAGGAGCAATCCGTCTCCAGCTGTAATAAATTATTTTCTCCTCTTATTTTATCTATCTGTTTTGAAAGTCATTGTACGATCCCTAGAAAAATACAGGCTAATGAACTATATAGAACTTGGCATTGTCTACTGGAATCAAAGTAACAATCACAGCAAAAAGTTAATGGAAATTATACTATCAATTAGCCGGGAAAAGCGGACGGAAGCTGGCAGCCAAAAGTAGTGTACATAAATTAAATTAACCAGAAACAGTTGCCAACTGGTCGAGGACCCGACCCTTTTCGGCATTCACTTGGCACACTTCCTATCGGGAGCTGTCTAAGGTCGCCAGTCGGATTGGTGGAGCGATTATGGCCATTTCTGGTGGCATCAATATGAATATGTTATAAGCGCTGGGTAAGCGGCAAGCAGAATGGGAACAATTTATATTGGAAAAGCGTTCGCATGCGGAAACGAATTTTGTGTAAATTATAGATTTTTTCCTCTGCTGCCTCCGCTGCCATTGCTGCTGCTGCTGCCGTTGCCTGGCAATTTATCGTAGTTGAGTTTTGGCTGGCAATGATAATTTATATATGTACACAGACACTTATACATGTGCCCGGTAGAGTGTGTGTATCTGAAGCCGGGCTGCTTTGGTCGGGGCTTTTCAGGGGCCACACCCAGTTGACAAATTGCCAGGGGAAAATTAAATTCTTTTTTATATTTTAAGTTGTTAAATTGCAATAACGCTGAACGAGTTAAATTTCGCAAAGGAATTTTGTTTGGGAAAACTTATGTCATTTTTATTAAAGCCGATTTAAAGTGCAGTTGCAGTGTTTTCTTTCGATTAAAGTGAATGGACAAAGTTCATGTGCCGTCCAATTTATTATTACTTTCAATTCAGTAATTGAGAACTGCAATTAAGAGTCCCACAGAAGGCAAAACGGGGCAGAAACTGTTGGGCCATTTAAAAGAACGAAATGTGCAGCTGGAGCGTTTGAAATGCAAAAAGGAGTCCAAATGTGAAATGCAAATGACAAAGCCAGGATAAATGCAAGAGGAAAATGAGGAAAAAAGGAAGCAAAACACAGGCGAGGCAGCTGAAAATGGAATGAAAAGCACAGCAGCAGCAGCAACAAATGCAACTCTTAATGAGTGCGCTGACATAAAAATAATTATGAATTAAAGCCAAAGTTGCTCGGTTATTTTTTTGTGTTTATCCCTTTCAGCTAGCTCATAATTCAAATGCATGTTAAATAAATGTGGAAAGGCAGCAAATAGAAATAGAAATATGCAGAGAGCAAAAATGTATATGCGTTAACCAATTCATTATCCTTTAAGCCTTGTAATAGAAGCGGTAAACCGGAGGGATTGGAGTTGGTGACTTGTAGGGAGGGCTTGGCTTAAGGATTCCAGTAAAGTTTTTGTTATTAATATATTTTATACACATTTATGTCCTGCAATTTTAATCCTAATGTTTTTAGTTCTTTTAGCAATAAACGGCCTTTTGACAATCATTTATTTATGATTTAACTCATTTTTTCTTGAAGTGTCATGATGGGAATAGGGAAAAATAAAAGGATATGGAGACACAGTTGTCAACGAACTCGGCTGGGATCTGTGCCGGGTTCAGTTTGTTTCATTGTCTCCAGAAATGCGACGTCATCGTCAGACGACGCTGTCGTGGCTGCCGATGTTGCTCCTGTTGTTGTTGATGTTGCTGCTGATGTTGCTGCTGTTGCCGCTGTCGTCGGCTGGCGCCCGTTGTCTGTCTGCATTTTCATTTGTGGCGCATAAAGGGACGGACCCCGACGAAGGCACAAGAGCTGCCAGCAAATGTCCATCAGCCACTACTACTACTACTACAGAAGCAGCGACAGCGACGGCAATGTATCTGGGTATCTGTATCTGTGTATCTGAGCATCTGTATCTGAGCATAAAGGAGCAGCAATGCGGGCAGTTTTTCAACCAAAAAAAGCTGCAGGGAGTGGAGCACTCCTTTTCAGGCGCTGCAGGTCAGCTAAGTGCATCGCCAGCAACAATGGTCCTCGAGTCCCGAGTCCCGAGTCCGGGATCTCCTTCAGGAAAATGGAAATGAAAATGGAATGGCGCATAATGCACTCGAGTTAAAGCGCAGATTTGATGCAACAGCACGTTCCTAGAGCTCTGGATGCCTGCGGCAGAGCCTTTCTCTACTCGAGGGAATCCCCGGGACTAATGAGCTGCCTTGAATATTTAGTTAGTCGAGGCGAGTTCCGGCTGTGTGGCGGAAGCGCAAGAAAGTATGCTATAAATTGCGATGGCCAGCGACAAAGCAATTTATGGGAACTTCAGACACAATCGAACTGCGCTCTGTGACAGATTTCTCTGTTATAAATAACGATTGCGATTGCGTCTGCATTGCAGGATATATATTTGGAATTTTCCTACATTTTTGTCTGCGACTCTCCGGTGTCCCCTTTGGCGTTGATTCATTTGTATATTGATCGGGACAAAGTCAGCTTTAATATCATCTGAGTCTGTGACTGCGTATTTTGGCCCGCCCTATCGTTTATTCTATAAATTGTTTACCCGAGCTTTTTCGCTCGCTGCGCAGCGCTGAAATAACAATTGTGACAGCAACTTTTGTCCAAACAACTTGCAACTTGCTTAATTTTGTTTGCGCTGCACAAACTACTTAAGCGTGCAGCACCATAAAAGGAAGCTCCTTGGTCGCCAAATGCGCGGGGACCCTGTCTGCGACTGAGACTGAGACAATTGTGCCACGCTCCGTCCGAGATAATACATCAATTTCAAATTATTTGCTGAGCACAGGACACGGGGTGGCGGGCGTGACACTTGCCGGCCAATATAAATAAACACTCGATATTCAATTTAGCAACGATTCATCAGCATATTGGCGTGGCATGGGGGCGATTTGGTGGAGCAACTTGAGCTAGCAACAAAAGGCGCTCAGACGAAGACCAAAAATCAACTTCAAAAAAGGCAAATATTTGCACAACAACAAGACGCTGAGCACAAAGATGCCAATGGCGTCTCACAAAGCCCGTCACACAGGGACAAGCGCCAGTAAAGATAATACAGTTGAGGTTAAAACAATAGGAGTGCAAACAAGAAAGGAAACTGAGCTAGAGAAGATGAAATTTCAAATTGTGAATACTTATTTATATTTTTATATAACAATTTTATCGACAAACCAAAGTTTAAAAATCGCATAACTTTGCCAAAAATTATTTAATTTAACTTCGGAAACCATTCTTAAGTTAGTTTTTATTAGCTTAACAAACCTGTATACTAAATTTAGAATTTTAGGAAATTTAAGTTTTTGCCAATTTTTGACAATTTTAATGATGTAACCCCTTATGAAATTTTCAAATTTTGGAAAATTATCGAACATTTTATTTTTCTGCCGGAGATGGCTAAATCGATTTAGCTTTTGATGCTGATCAAGAATATACATGATTTATAGGGTCGGAAATAACTCCTTCACATAGTTATTAGCTTCAGACTACAATTAAAGTACAATTTTTTAAACTTTTCTTATCTATGTATTTATATTAAAATTGTGTCTACTAATCATTGCTTAAAAAACTCATAACTAAGCCAAAAATGCATACATTTTAATTCGGAAACAATTCCTATAATCGTTTTTACAAGGTTAACAAATCTGCATACTCAATTAACAATTTTAGAAAATTTATTTTTGCCAATTTTTGACAATTTTAATGATGTAACCCCTTATGAAATTTTCAAATTTTGAGAAATTTTCAAAAACTTTATTTTCCTGCCGGAGATGGCTAAATCGATTCAGCTTTGGATATATACATGATATATGGGGTCGGAAATGACTCTTTCAATTAGTTTTATGCCTCTGACTAAAATAATAATTCCCTGCAAGGAACACTCTTCATTCTTTAAAGACCTTCAAAAATATACCAAATATTATATATTTATTTCAGAAAAAAACCTTTCTTTCTGTGCTAAAATTGTGCTAACAATTGTTCGGAATATATATATATATATATATATATATCCTCAGTTACATTTGTGTGTCACGGCAAAGACAATGGCAGCAGCACATGCACACAAAAAACAACGCAGAAC